ACCCCACCGGAAAAGAACTCGGTTTCCCAAAAGAACTCGGATAAGACTCTATCTCGGATGCGGAGCCTGAATTCGAGTCGGATGCGCAAAGCCGCGAAACCTGAGTTGAATCGGACATCATGAGCTGCGTGAATCTTTCGGAGATTTGATCTGTCGTAGTCGCCGAAATAGAATAGTCTTCATGGTGATTCGAATCTTCGAGGAGACGGCTTTGGAGCTTGCCATTGTCGTCCGCCTCGCAGATCCATGAGCCGAAGATGAAAGTTGATCCTGTCGAGAAGATCATGCTGTCGAGGTCCATCGAGCTATCGGATGCAAATTCGCCGAAAGCCCCTATCTGGCGCACTAGCTGTCGATGTTTTACCACCGATAGCCTGCCACAGGGTTATCCGAGACAGTATGTTCGGGCTTCAGCGTATGCGGAACTCGACGGTGAACGCAGGAGACAGTCAGTTTATCCTGGTTCGGGCCCTCGATCGTAGATCGAGTAACAGCCCTACGTCCAGTTGGCGTTAGCCTCTGTGTTGTATTGATTGTATGTTGTTGCGTTGTAGAAGTCGTGATCTCTAGGATCCTGCCCTCCTTTATATAGTCAGGAGGTCAGAATCCTAATCGGTTTACAATGAGAGTTCCTAGTAGGATTACAGAATAATACTACTACTAAGATTACATGGGGAGAATCCTAGTTAGACTAGATCTTCTCTCTTCCTTGCGGGGTATCCTGTGGGTCCCGCACCAACAATCACATCACAAACGAAATATCAGATGATGCATAATTTGCTTGCATTGTGCAATATCTTTTAAGATTAGAAAATGCCTCAAAAGAATCATGTAGTACTACTGTAAAACACAACCAAATCAACCCAAATTGTTCAGCTGGGCTTAGATTGGATAAATACTTCAGGTACAAAATACATTGCATCTGGTAGATTATGTCCAATGGAACTTCCATTTCTTGATTATTGTTATCGATCAAAATGTGTAGAAAAGTCATATGATATAAAAATAATATTAATAAGATCAACCTCAACAGTACTTGTATATGTCTCTGATTTTATTATTATTTTGTTAGTATATATGTAGATACAGAAATTGAGAAAAGTTATGAAGGGACTGTCCATCTCCTTTAAACAAGAAAATAAGACAGGAGATGGTAGTCCTTGACTCCAAAATAACTCAAAATGCAACATCCTCTGTTCTTGGAAAGGTATGTTTCAAACTTTCCATGGTATACTTTTCAAAGTATAAATACATTAGTAAACATGCATCTGGTAAATACAGAGGCAGATCTAAGCCAAGAAACCAGCAAAGCATGGGTGATAGGGGGATAAGCAAACATTAAAAAAAATGTGACACCACCGGAGGAAGAGCATGTGAATCATTCATTGATACATCATTCATAAGGCATAAGCAGGGCTAGCAGAGTGACAGACATTGAAACCAAGCAACATTGGACTACATGACAACAAGTAGGGGAGCCTAGTCTACATTAATACAGTGACAAAGAATGCCGTTTTATGGTAACCCTCAAAGGTACCGATCTGCAAGACCTATGCTTCCCTATCAATCCGTCCCTCGGTAGCCCTCCACATCTGGCATCATAAACCCTAACCCTAATGAATCGGAGCTGCAAATGTGTAGAAATATGGGAAGTGAAAGACGGCTACGTACCGGAACTGGCGCTGCAGGGAGAGGGGAAGTAGGAGAAGGTGACGGATCCGGTGGCTTCGACGGCGGCGTCCGCGGATGGGATCTGGATATCGTGGGAAGGACCTGGACGAATCGCCCGCAAGTGGAAGCACTAGTGGCGTCGAGGAGGGAAGCGGCGGTGCTAGCTGGAATCGATGTAGGGAAGCACCGATTTGTAAACCCTAACAGCAGCGATGGTCACCGAAGAACGTAGAAGGGGAAGGGGGAGTGGAGTACGTACCCAAAAGGGTAGATCTGACTCCGTAGGCGACGTAGGGGTTGGATCTGCTCACGAAGACGGCGATGACGAAGCGGCGGCTCGGGTACGCCGATGCCGAACCAAATCCGGCGAGACGCCCCGTGTGGATGTCGCCTTACATCTCCGGCCGATGGGATAGGAGGGGAGAAGGACGGAGGGCGGCCGGCGTCGATGCGGGAGTGGGGGCGTGGGCGAAGATGACACCTCGGCGGCGGCGGGACGAACAGCTGGGAGCAACGGAACCCTAAGCGCGCGAGCGAATGCGAGACGGGAGAGTGAGGATGACGGCAACTGCTTCTTCTAGTGCAGCTGAACGGCTAAACTTGGCTGGCCCGGAAGGCCCAATCAGGTCCAGCCGACTTCAGCCACCGAGTCGACCAGCCGAACGGGGCCATTGAGCCATTTACCATAGTTAGCAGGATCCTCATTTTCTTTATTTCTTGGCAGCTCAGCACCTACAAAAATATTTCAAAACTATATATGAATCATGAGAAATACATTGTATGTATATTGAGAAAAATGTTTGTAGTGCCACCATTATTTGGTTCGGAGAGCATAGGTTGCTCCTTTTTTCTTTTATACGGTTCACGACGCTTTTTGTTTATTTCTTCTCTTTTATCGGAAGGCATTAACGCACGAGGAGCTCTATCCCTTTCATCTCTAAGTAGTCTAGGGTCCATGACTTCTGCACATGAACTAACCGTGTTTTTACCCACTGTAAAAAAAAAAAAAAACTTAAGATGAGAAACCATAGTCATTGTTACATATAACAATATTACTCAAAGTAGCGTCATCCTTTTTGCGTTGGTATAGTTCACGACGCTTCTTATTCAATTCATTCCTTCTCTCTTCAGACATTGATGCAAATCTTGCTCTCTCTTTCCCTCTTGCGCTCCTTCGGGTCTTCATCCACCCTCGCTAATTCTAATTCATTTTGACCAATTGAAAATAGTTTTTATAGTTGGTGCTAAATACAATAATGGTAATATTCAAATATACACAAGTAAACAAACTCATAATTGTTACCTTTATTCGGAACAGATGGAAGGACTCCTAATGTTGGGCGACATTCGTCACTTTTCTTGGGATCCATTCAATTCCCAAAAGCAACGATTGCATGCATGAAGGAGAGGAAAATCCGGAAGCAACGATTTCACCGGAAAGCAGCGATTCCACCAGGGTGGCAGAGCGAAGCAGGACGGTGTACTTCGTCTATCGGGGAGGGTCACCGTTTGACATGTTTTAGTTGCAGAGAAGATATTTCTCTGAAAGTCTGAAAGACTGAATCAAACAATGAAACACAGAACGACCGAGTCAAACACTGATACAAAATCTTTAGAAAAGAAGACAAATTGCAACTGCTGAAAGACTATAGAAACAATGACAATGATGGTCTCACCTTTTACCTCAGTCTCTTATCTGTTCATGGTGTCCTCTGTCATGGATGAGTGGCAACGTTGATTGCGTGTACCACTGGAAGACTGTAAAAAACACTGAAGCATATAGCTCAACTTGCAACCTTGGTGGCTCAGGTACCACCTATAATTAACAGAGGACAGTTAACACATAAAAATAGCCTAATAGTTGATCTACAAAATACATACATTATAGAGGTCCACTGCACACTAAAAGAAAATACTTGTAGTTATTTCTCATGGCATATGATAACTTAGATTTCACATAAAACTGCTCAGATGCTACATTGATCAAGCAACCAGTGCTTCGCTGCTTCAAGATATGACTTCACCAGAATAAATAAAATTCAATATTTATGATCTGCAGCTCAAAATGAAGTTGCGAGCGCTGGACAACGCCACGAGCGCATCTGCGTTCCTCGCCGACCCCGCAACCGCGGGTGGCGGCAAGCCGGCAACACGTTGTTCAGCGACCTCACCTGCATCGGCAACAACCACTACAGAGGATGACTCGACACAAGGAAGCGCGCGCAGGTGACCATGGACCTGCAAGGCCAGCGCGCTCTGCTGCCTCCGATGACAGTACAGGTGCCGGTGCCGGTGCAGTAGGCGTCGGCGTCCGCAGGGGACGTGCAGAGCAGGGCGCTCTGCTCTGGCTCCGCGTCCACCAGTGGACGCCCGCCCAGCCCCGCGCCAGTGTCGCAGGGCCGACTCTCGCACCTCTACGGCCTCAGTGTCGAGATGGACGTCCTTCTCCGCATCGAGGTGCGCCGACCAGTTCTACTTCTATATATGCCGAACGGTTGTCGATGCTCTTGTTTCTGAGGTGTCATATACGGTATACCGTCCTGTCGGCGGTGCCGCAACCTTGAAAACACATGCTAAAATGTGGGCTCCTGCTGCTGAAAACATATAGAACTTGCTTTGGCCGTGAAAGCAAGAATGCATCTGCATGTCTAAACAGTCTCATTTCTTTTTGCATAATTGAAATAGGAAGTCTAGGAGATCGTACTCTTCCTCAAGTTGCAGGCATTGAATGAGTAAGATGCAAGCAGCATTGACAAAACTTTATAACTGCAAAAAAACTGAATGCAAATAACACATAGAAAACAAATGGAATATTGTCAATTATAACTACCTTATCAGTGAAAAAAAACCGTGTTTAATCACCAAGGAATGGTTAACCCATTACTTTGGAGATAGTTTTTTTTTTAACAGAACGTCCACATCTAGCTCTACTACAACGGCAAAAACAAGTCCTATGGATAATTGATGTCATTAATCATCTACCTGTAACATATCTATATCTATCTATTCTATTATATATATATATCTATATCTATATCTCTATCTCTATATCTATATCTATATCTATATCTAAAGGAGTGAAGAAATTAAAAATACATTGTCACCATAAAAATTTCCAACACACCTTAGATTAGATTGACAAGTAGACCCGCCCGACAAAAGCGACAGAAACATGTAAACATGCGTGTTTCGCGTTGCCGATCTCCCCTCCGCTCTGATTTTTTCACACGCGCGAAACCTACCCGCCCGCCTATACCCACTCGCGATCTCATCCCGCGACTCCGATCCGCGCTTGTACCCACAGCAAAAACCTGGCCGCAACCGCATCCATGGCATCCCGGAACCGCCATCTCATCTCCTTCTCACGCACACCAACCCGCCGTCGACGCGTCCGGGTCCTCCTCCCCGGCCTCCGCCCGGTCGGCGACACTGCTCACGGTCGCGGCAGCCGCCCTTGTCACCAAGCTCCGCAGGGCCCAGGCCCTCTCCGGCGGTCGTGCGCTGGCCGTCGCAGGCGGATCTCCGTTGGGGCGTCTTCGAGGTCCAAGGAGGCAGGCGGCCCTGCGACCACCACATGGTCTCGCCGGTACATACAGCCCGTCGGCCCCTGCCGGCAGTGCTCGGTCCCCATCGACAACGCCGCTCCTGGTGCTGCACACGATGATGGCGTAGGTAGCGATGCAGGCAGCATTGGGCGCACTCAACTCAATGGTGTTGACCTCAGCCGTTGTGGCATTCCCGATCGCCGTGAACAAGTATAGGGACGATCAATGACGTCGGTGGTAATAATAAGGCAAGCATCGGAGTTGGCGACTCTACCACCATGGACATGCGTCCAGCCATGAAGGTAACAAGTCTGATTTGCTGGTTTTAGTACAAGCAAAATATTTGATATTTTCTCTGTTTCATGGTTACAGAGTCTGACATGTTCTGTGCATACGCATTAGGGGAATGCATTTTTCCAAAGATGAGCAGGTGAGCTTGCTGCAGATACAGGCAGACATGGACATCACCTAGAAGGCAGGTCATGCATTTTATTTATTGCAAATATTGATAAATAGGAGTCTTTTGTGTATTTTGTATGCTCGATTTACAAGAAGAAATACATTCTTCTAATTTGTATTGCAGGCCAAGCTGCTAATTTGTGTATGCAATAGTTGCTAAGATGAAACATATGCAGTGGCCTGCTACACGTACGCACCTTTTTCTATGACAATGTTTGCAATAATTGCTAAGATGAAACATATATGCAGTAGGCTTTATGTGTCTATTTATTAAGGGGGTGTTTGGATCCGGTGACTAAAGTTTAGAATGTGTCACATGGGTGTTCGGATACTAATAAAAAAATAAATTACAGAATCCGTCAGTAATCCACGAGACGAATTTATTAAGCCTAATTAATCCATCATTAGCATATGTTAATGTAGCACCACATTGTCAAATCATGGACTAATCAGGTTTAAAATAATCGTCTCGCAAAACAGTCTCAATCTATGCATTTAGTTTCGTAAATAGTCTATATTTAAGACTCCATGCATGTGTCCAGACATCGGATGGGACAACGACTAAAGTTTAGGAGGTTGAACCAAACACCCCCTAAGTGCAACTGTCACCCATTGGCCCTGTTCGCTTCGCTGAAAAAACAAGTCGAAATACTGTTCCGGCTGATTTGTTGTGAGAGAAAAACACTGTTTTAGCAGAAAAAATAAACTGAAAAATATGGATTATAAGAGAAGCGAACAGGCCACTGTTATGAAAACTCTGTTTCAATAAATGTTTCCTAGGAACGCAACTGTTTGTTAGGGTGATCAATTCTTGCTACATATAGTTATTTCACTATAAACAGATGAAACTTGAAAGCTATCCCCAGGTGAAGGAAAAGCCGAAGTAGACTCTTGAGTCTTGACCTATGCATGAAAAGCATTAATATAGCACTTGATGCTGCAGGAGTATCCTTTGAAAAAACCACGAACTTTGTATGTAACAATAAATTAAAGTCGCATATGTGCTCTGAGAAAATTAAACCAGGGTTCTTTCAATTGTTAATATTTGAGCTAATAACACTATACTATCCTTTGAGAGCTGGATTACATGAAAGAGACTGAGGGAATTTTTGCATTGCTAATGTAGTCCTTTCAGATGGAATCTGATTGTGTGCTCGTAGGCGCTTATGTTTAATACTTTGGAAGGGGAAAAACTTCTATGCGGCACCGCTTTCCGCGTGACACCGCCCTCTCCATTATATTGTTTCCGCTCAATATTGACATTATTTTTTTGTTGAAGGTTGAATTGTAACCTTCTGCTACAATGTGATTGCTGCTCATTAAGTAATGGAGAGTATGTCAAAGCTGGGTTGGATGCGTTAGAACATTGGTACTTTTAGTTGGCTGAAGAGGTGATGGCGTCTCCGGACTGCTTCAACAAACCTTTGACAAAGCAACTTCTAACCTTCTTATACTGTAATTGTATAAACACTATGCAGACATGGGATGAGCTGAAGCATATCAGGCAAGCAGTTACCCTCTTGATACTTGATGATAAACATTGCCAGAATCTCACAGAGTTCACAGACAACTTCTGTATGTATAGTAAGTTTCTGAACCTACACGCTTTTGAAGTTTTGATACCACCATTCTCAAGTTAGTGACAAAATTGGACGTCTATCATACAGATAGGCACTGAGCAAGTGAGCATGCAACAACTGTACCAGATCAGTAAGATGTACTGTGACGACAAGTATGGATTATGGACCCCTGGGCATTCCATCACAAGTGAGTGATCCCAACACATTCCTGTCAAGAACTTTATTGGTTTTTGTTCTTTGACTGTTGGTCATTTCTCTCCTACTTGAGTGAGTGCCTAACTGGGTTTGCTTCTGTATGTCTGCACAGAACAGAGCTGGCATATAAAGTAACTATGTAAGCAAAGAAAGCCTTTGTGTTATTTTTTTTTGGTTAAACTGAGTGATGCATGCAAGCGAAGCTTTCCTGTTGTATTTTGCCATGTGTGCTTACAGTTTCTATATTTGGTACCTGTCTTTTTTTTTCAAAGACGCCTTCCACTTGGGTGATGACCTGTTTCCCCATAGCCATGTAACTATTTTTAACAATAGCCATTTAACTGTTGAATCATCTGACACTCTCAATAATGACTTAAAGAAACATTGTCGATCACCTGGAATTGAGAACTTGTCTATCATTTTTGGTAATGCCGGTGGGTACACAACACATTCAAATTTCAAATATTTTGAACCCATAAATTACATGTACTGTTGCCCAGTTTCTGAACTTGGATTTAAGTTGGGATTATGTGTTGGGAAATATTTGCGCAGATATCGAGCAGATTTGGAAGGCTGCAGGGAGTGAAGTTGCGATTGGAGGGAGGAACCTGTACATGAGGTTCAGCTGCAGCACAAGGGATGTCATGGGGGGATGAACATGGTCTCCAAACGTGTACAGAACGTGCTGGACTACCTCCAGGCTGACTTCCCTGATATGGATCTCATCACCATATCAGGTTTTCCCATGTTGTAAATTCCTAAACTCTATTTGTGAATTTGACCTGCTTTATTGTGCATCTGATTGTTTCTGTTTTTGAGAAAAGCACATTCAAATTCAGGTGTCGACACAGTCTCTAATACAACACTTTGAATAGAAATCTAAAACATGATATCTTAAATAGAAAGAAATATGTTTATGATGAAACAGCCTTTCCTGTACCAAATTACCAAATAAACGAATCCGCTCATTCTTCTTCATTATCAGCATTCAAGTTGAGATATGATATTCAGAACACCCACCTATTTGTTTAATCCCTGCATATTTATTGTCCTTAATAAACAAATGCAAATTTATATTAACCAAATTATAACTAGATATGGAACCTTCTCCCATTATCAAAAAATATATATATGTGGTGTCGTACCCTACTGTATGACTAAAGGTCGATTAATATTTGTTATATGATATATATGAATTGACTTGTATAATTTTCATTAATATTGGCTCATTGTGTATGAAATGGTTTTCATAACACGTAGGTGTCGCACGTGCATTTCCACTAGTCATTAATAAAAGCAATAGATTTGCATCTGTTTAACCTCCTACAGGCTTGCTGCTGTTGTGCGTCGCCATGGCCTTCTTGCAATCTTGCTGGACTGCTCATCGGAGAAGAGGTGGGGTGGAAGCGGACTAAGGCTGAGGCACACGGGCGAGGCTTGGTTTTGCCTGGGCATGCGCATGACGTGGGCGACGGGATTGAGAAGGGTACGGCTCCGCCGGCCTGGAGCGCGCGCTGGCGCGCAACGCGGAGCTCAACGAGAAGCTCCGGCAGACGGTGGCCGAGGGGCAGGCGTGGCAGGGCGTTGCCGAGAGCCACGAAGCCGTCGCTGCGGTGCTCTGCGCCACGCTTGACAACCTGATGCAGACGCAGTCGCCATGCGCTGGCACAGGGGCTGCAGGCGCGGGCGCCGAGGGCGACGAGGACGTGCAGTCATGCTACTACGAGTTGGAGGCTTGGAGCAGGAACAGGGCGAGCGCACCGGGGCGTCGTCGTCCTGCGGCCAGGGAGCAAAAGATGCAAGCCGAAGGAAGGAGAAGCGTGGGCAAGGAAGGGAGTGGGGTTACCTCGAGGCAGGACTCAGGAGCGGTACTTGTGCTGGTGGTCGGCGCAGCCGTCCCTCTTCCAACGGTAGAAGCACGGTCGGGGGAGGTGGGAAGCGCGTTGCGGCCACTGATCGCGCGATACACTAACGGAGCGCCGGCGGATCGCGATCCCGTGCGGGAGCGCGCGGGGATTGCGAGGGCGGATGATGGGGGCTGCCTTTTTTACAGGCCGCAGCACGAGAAGGAAGGCAATCCGTTTCCTTATCAGTCACGATCTCCTATATATCTCATAATTAGCGTGACCTTGTGGAGCAATAATGTTGCGATTGATGTTAGCAAGAGATGGAAGGCAATCAATCTGTTTCCTAATTACTCATGGCTTTTGTTGACGGGCGAGGCAGGGGTTATCGCGCAAAGGGTTTCCACCGGGCGCGTGTGCAGGGTCGGACATGCACGATCATCGCCTGATCGCACGTTCGCCTTCCTTTGGGGGTGCGGAACCGCCGGGTACCTAATAATCCTTCTCAATTCTTGTTTTTAGAAACAATGGAAAAAATCCATCTCCAACCCCTAAAATGACATTCTAATATTTTAGCACTCGGGAAAAAAGGTCCGATACGCGTAAAGATACGTGGATAGCCCGTCGCGCGTATCCGTCCTTCCCGTCACGCGCTCCTTTTGCGCCGTCATTTTCTCCCATGATCTCCACGTGGGAAAGGAAAAGGAGGAAATACAGGTCCAGGTGAGAAAGTCACAGGAGAGAAAGATCTGGTGGGAGGCCTTAAATGGATATAGAAACAAATTTAGGATTCATGATGCAAAACATCACAACTCCTGGGACCTTTTGATTTTTTTGGAGACGGCTGTCTTTATTTCTCTCAATACTTTTTTAGAGTTGAAAAACATTATGTTTTTTGGAAGAAAAAATATGATACTCTTGGAGATGCTCTTACGTGGTGTCAGGGGCACGAGCGTGCGAGCGCTAGCAGTGACAGACCTAAGAGCATTTTCAAAAGATTAGCCAAAAAGACTAGCCAAATTTATTAATTTAGCTACTCTATAAAATAGATTTGACATAAAAATACTAGAGTACTCCAACAGACTCTGTAAAACTAAGAGGATGGATGGCTAGTGAGGTAGACTATCCAAAAGTAAAGAGCGAATGAGATGGGATGGAGAACTATTAAATTTGGAGAGTCATTTACAGAGTTTGTTAGAGATGTTTTTCGTTTGATAATAGCTAAATTTATCTTTAGAAAATAATTTGGCTAATCTCTTGGAGATGCTCTAAGATTTTAGCACCCACAAAAAATTCTTACGTAATTCGGTAAAACTTCCAATTTGGTAAATCATATTCTAATTCAGTAAAACCACATGCATTAATGACATGATAAGCCTTAAATTCACAGATTAAACTAGAAACTACGACAAATTACAATATAAAAGTTCAAATGAAATACAAATGATTTAAAATATAGCCATAAAAAGAACTTATAATACTACTTGACTTATTTACCCGCCGCTTTTTGAATGCCACTAATAAAAGCAATATCAATCACAGTTCCTATAATAACTCATATGATATGTTATCTTCTAATATTAATGTCGGGCGAACTGCAGACTAATCTCTAATCACTGATCTGGCTAATCTTCATGATACACAACTAATGTTGGAGTGCCGACTTTGTAAATGGGACATGACATTATACAGTTTCATTCCATTTCATGGCATATCTCACAGGACATAACAAGATGGGATGAAAAAATTACAAAATAAAGGATGGATATATTAGTTATAACTTATAATAACACGAGTAGATAAAAAATAGTAAAAACAATGACTCATCTGAGGTCTCATGAGACACACCAAGAGGGGATAAAAAATAGAAAAACATATAGAAATAGGAAAACAACATGATAGGTTTCACCGGACAGAACATGACAGGATAAAAATAGGAAAACTATAGAAATATATTATATTATCTATGTAGGTAATTTTTAAAGGGGATATAAAAATAGAAAATCAAAACAAAAAAAATGCTGCTCTGAAGGGTTGAACTTGCGACTTTGTGTACGGAAGGTAACAGACCTACCACTAGGCTAAGAAGACGTAGCAATAACTTTAATTGCAAATTCACCTAGATAAAGGTGAATAATCAGTGTTAAGTACAAGGCTGGCCCCATAGGGTTATGCCATGGCCCACCTGGCATACCCTGTGAGTCCGCCCCTAAGCGCCGGGCAGAGCGAAGCGGGGCGACGCACGTTGTCCTGCCAGGTAGAGTCTCACTTCCGTATTTTTTAGTCGTAGATGTAGAGAAGAGATAGAGAAAAGAAGATGATGATGTGATGCTTGATGAAATGCTTATACTTGATTAATGTCTATTTTTTTCTTTTTTCTCGAACACAACTTCACGTGTCTTTTCAATAAGAAGAAAGGGTGCCGAAAGAACGGCTTACACAACACAGGTTCGGGAGAACCCATACTGCAGGTTACAGAACCACAGAGCAAGTGGTTAAGAACCAAAACGACAAGGAAAAATTACATCAACGCAAGGCTGCCAGCATAGGAGATGAAGCCAAGATAAGCCACGGTGGCAAAATATCCACCAGAAAGAGACGAGACTACAACGGCGAAGTATCTGCCTGAGCAACACGGTGGCAAAGCATCTACCCGTGAGAACGTGACAAAGTACCGCAGAAGGGTGGGGCCATCACGCCCTCAGCAGCCAGCATGAGGGGGCTCCCGAACGGCCATGGCAGTAAACTATGCGCCCAAGCAGCGACGACGGCAAAAGCATTCGTCAAAGAAGAGACGACGGTGACAAAGCTGGCTGAACATACCACTACAAAGACGAGCTTGAAGCACACACAGGCACAGGCAAAAGCTACCCCAGCTAGAGCAACAGTGGGCTGTAGTAGCGCTACAATGATGCCTTCACGAAGGACCTTGACATCCGCAGACACCAACAACGCTGGTAGAAGCACACCAGTAGGTCTTTCGACCCCAGCCTACCCCGACGAACAAGAACTTTGACGACTCCTCCAAGAAGGCGGATGACGCGGCTGTGCCACCGCCGCCGCCCGGAGGAACCGGGCAGGGTTTTCACCCAGTTACTGTACGTCAACAGGAGCAGGCCACCCACTGCAGAGCGGCACCAATGGCCTACCGGCGTCCTTGGATGACAGATCTGGCAGCCATGAGCCGATAGTTGGTGCTCCAGCCATGCCCCGGCCACCCGGCACCAGCAGACACTAGCCCCAGAAAGCCATAGGCGCCCCGGCCCCAGCCGTCAGTGCATCCGGCGAGGGGAAGGCATGGGCACCCCAGGCCGCTGCTCCGCTGGGCGCTGGCCAGCCATGGTCATCCGTGTTTGCCAAAGCCGCCACCAAGGCCCGGCTAGACCATACGCATCGCTGCCCCCGGGCCAGTAGGACCGCTCGAAGCCACACCTACGGGCCGGCCAGTAGATCCGGCGAGGGGGAGGGGCAGGCCCCCATCCCCCGCCGCTGCCCAGCCTCGTCCTACCGAAGCCACCGGGCCACTTGGCGGCACATTTTCGGCGACGAGCAGTGTGGTAGAACCCTCCGAAATAACACACCTTCGGAGGCGTTTGTCTTCCACTAGACACTAAGCACCCCGAAAGCAAACTACATCGGACGGTTCCGTCGAGCATACCTCAAGGGAGAACTCGAACAATCCACATTTTTCCTCCAGGATCTAATAATGAGAACGAGTTTATAATACTTAGTCCATTTCATATATCAAGAGTTCTCATAAATACATTATTACAATACCAAGTTCAGAGTGCGGAATTTAAACAACGGAATTGAAATAAACTTCTAACGATAAGATACAATGATCTATTTGTGCCCACCAGAAGAATCCTCCACTCAACAGCTACTCCTCAAGCTGCACCTGCAATAGGGGTAAATAAACCCTGAGTACACAATGTACTCGCAAGACTCACCCGACTAGTGGAAATAATTTTCCGACTCCAAAGGATATGATAAGCTTTATGGTTTGCTGGGTTTCCTTTTTGTAAAAAGCAACACTAGTAGTGAATCCTTATGTATGTATTTTATTAGCAATCATGATTAGTTCATTAGCTAACCATTCTATGTAAGCACATGTTCTACTTTCAAGCAAGAGTTGAGCAATCAGATCCATTTCACCACCTTTCATCTTCTAGTTCTTACTACAGTGCTAGATCGTAGACAAGTCGTGCCATATTACATGGCGATTCGCGAACCAATGTAGCCCAGCTGGGTACCCCGAAACACAAGCCTCGCTTGTACCCCAGGCACAAGCAGAACTAACCCACCACTCTCCTGTCAAGGGGTCTAGGTCCCCGTCGAAACTTGGACTCCAAGCCCCCACACCTGAGTCCCGGACTCAGTGTGGTGCTTAGACCTCCACCATCCCCGCCTCCAATCAGTCGGTCCGAAAAGAGCCAAAACCCACGACAAGAGAGCAACGAGCCTTCGCTGCTCCCATAAACAAGTATGTGCTTAGGATAATAAGTCTGTGACATGACTAGAATACAATGCAACGGCCGGTCCTTACAAGGATTATGTCGCAACACCAAGAAGTGGTGGCAACATGTTCAATTGCCACGCCCAAGGGTTTAGTTGCTATAAGGTGCAGTCGCTATTGCTTCGCAAATTGTTCGTTGCTATACTCTTTATTGCGATGGTGGTTCTTGTTGCTATAGCACGACGGTTGGCGTTGCTATATTATCTATTACAATGGCAAGTTTAGGAGGCTATAGCTTCTATTGCCACGCTCATTGTGTGTTGCTATAGAATATATTGCCACAGTTAATATGGTTGCCAATAGTTGATTTTACAACATTTTTTATTTGATAGCATCAAGCAATATTGCCACCTTATTATTGTTTGTCACAACAGGAATACGTGATTAGGAACTATTTCATCAAAAGTATTATATCAAAACAGAATGTTGCTATACATATCTGAAATTAAACAATCATTGTTTGCAACAATTCATATATTATTATTATATTTACAAGCATCATGCAACCCCCCTAGCTAAAACTACATTGAATCTTGTCTCAGCATTATTGAATAGCTTCTATTGACCGTTCTATGACTTGAGCGCTCCAGCCAAAATGTATCTTCCTCCTGAATAAAAACATTGACATGGGCATATGCCTCAACAAACATTCTGACTAATACGTTTATACAAAAATTCACTTCTAGCCAGCAATTGTTTCTAGACATGCAACATTCTATTTTCTCTAGTTACTAGGTCCTAGGAGAATCAACATGTAATACGACCATATATTAGATAGTGTACTAGAAAACCGGTGGATCACCAACCGTGCTACAAAGAGAGTAACAGCTCATGTTTGACCTCTATGGCGATGGTTATATGACAAAGGACCACAAATATTACCTACCTGATGTGAAGATACTTGATATTTCTATGAAATTTTCAAGTGTGAACTCTTGTTTCAGTACTGCAAGGTGAGAAATCAATCAGAATGTTAAAGTTTGATTTGACAGAGATATTTGTTAATGTTACCGCAAGGTGATATTTGTTTCAGTGCTTTCTATAAATGCTACCTATGTGAGTTCATCATAATAGGTATCCACACTTGTTACTTATATTAGGCATCTTCACCTATGTATAACAGAACTTTAAACAACTCACCCCTATAATTAATTTAAAGAGCTGATGTGCATCTGGTAAGTCATCGCCGGTGAAATTGTGCATTGCCGACATCACGTAAAATTTTCATTGGTTGTTGTCCATGGGTTGGCGTAAACATGTCCTTAGGCTAGTGAAATCTCACCGGAAGGGTCTATACCTCTTTCTCTTCTTACATTATCCATCGAAGGCTTTATGTAAAATTATAAAGTTTGAAGGTGATGATAAGATTTAAGCGTCTATATGTGAAATACAAATGTGCTCTCTCATACAAATATAAATGTTACTGGCTTCAAATACTTATTTAGTATGTCTTCGAGGGATTTGATATGACTTAGTGGCCTCCTCTTTAAGTCGTAGACGTGTATCTGGCTTGTATCCAGCTTCATATCTAAGAGGATGTAATGAAAACTGCAATAACCAAAGTCCAATATAAATTAGTCCTAATTAATGCTCATCAGTTTCTTCAATGTTCATCATTGTCGTCTCACACACGATTGTCTTCCAAATTCTCATTCTCATCAGCCATGTAGTTTACAGAAGTTCTGACAATTTGTGGCATAGGGTGATTCGGGCGGGTTTTGACTGCATGCTTAATAGCAGAATCAAAGGACTCCACTTCTGCAGCAGTGTCAGAGATGAAAGGTGCTCAAGGCCAAAATCAGCATCAACGCCATGGTTGCACCTTGTTTTCCTGGCATAAAACTTGATACATAATGTTTCGACCTCTGGCATAGCTCCCGGTGTGAACACCAGCCACATTCTTCCATGCACCACTTGGAAGGAGAGAACTCCTTTAGGCACTGGAATCCTTGGTTGCCCACCACAAGCCTTTCCACAGGGAAGTGACATCTACATAGCTCAAGATAAAGCAAAGTAGGAAGATTACCCAATATATGGAGATCTTCATTATCCATGGTTTCAACAACAATTTGCATGTAAGAGAGATGGACTAGTGAACCAACCCACTTTGGTAAACTGCTGATGGATCTTAATTGAAGGGCAGAGCTCCTGCCAATTTTTCAAAAAAAAAAGTAAGCTGCTGATGGACATGGTGATGGAAAGGTTTTGGAAAAGTGGAAAAGCATTCCCAGAGTCCATCAGCATATCTAGGACATCATTACTGTAGCACTGAATCTCAAGAAACTGAAGGTTGTGTTTTCCCAATGCCTGAAGAGATGAGCAGAAAATTTTGTTGTATCCACCCACATCACTATTCGAACCATCAGGCTGAGTACTTTATCCCTAGTCTTCTTAGTTGAGTCATCTGACCAAGACCTTCTAAGAATTTTGTAGAGTTGCAGGAGATAGTATATAGCACTTGCACAGCCCGAAGATTTGTGATCTCCACTGGCAGCGTTAATTTGGAACAAACAAATAGGCGAACCAATTTTTTCAATAGACCTATTGTTGCTGGTAATTTTCCTTCTATTGAATAAGATGTCAGGTCCAGTGTCTCTAAATTTTGTAGTTTGCCGATTTCTTCTGGGATACTTGTAATATCTGTGCAACTGAGATCCAAATACCTCAACTGACAACAATGTCCTATGAATTTCACCTGTGCAGACGGGCACCATCTAAAAAATCCAAGACACGCAGAGCTGGAAAGCTAACTTGGTTAAGCATTTCAGCCCAAGGCCTAAAGGTAATGATGGAACGAACATGATCCAAATTATTCATGCTCACTGGTAGCACTTCATGTTCAGTCTCATTATATTGCATGGACAAACGCCGAATCTTGTTAGTCATAGATTTAGGGTCATCTCCATCTAATATTGTAACAAAATTCTCTTCGGTTGATAAGGATATTAAAATGTCAAGGACCAAATCATGAACTCGGCAAGCTCGTGCTCTTCCATCATACTGAATATCAACTGGTTGGATCATGCTTCTGTTAATAAGCTCATTAAAATATATCTCTCCTACTTCCTCCAGATTTTGGCCCCTTCCTCCAACAATAAATCCTTCAGCTATCCACTTCCATATCAATGTTTCTCTCGTGATCACATAATCCTCTGGATATATACATAGATAAAGCAAGCAAGTCTTCAAATGAAGAGATCATAATAGCTAAAGAGTAGTATCTTATTCACTTGACTTGAAGCTTCTTCAAACGCATAACCGATAGACCTTCGTACCATCTCCCACTGGTCCTTTACTTTTGGTTTAATAGCTAACAAACTAGGTATGGTAATTATGGCCAATGGTAGACCACTACATTTTCTTAAGATTGCATTGGAAACTTCTTCCAGCTGAGGTGGGCAACTCTGCTCCGAGAGAAAAATCCTTCTCAAAAACAACCTCTGAGACTTAATTTTATCTAGAGGTTCAATCTTTAGCCAGAGCAACATGATTCAGCAACGCTAGTAATGCGTGTAGTTGTGATTATTCTGCTGCAGTGGTTGTTCTCTGTCAGAACTGATTTCACAAGTCCCCATGCTGATATGGTCCAGACATCGTCAATAACAACCTATTCGCAATGTTTTCATAAGACAGAAGTAAGAGTGCAATTTGACCAAGTAACTCATTTCAGTTGGCATTTGTACAATTTAAGCTGCAAATTTTTAGTATCTCGAGGAGTACCTGTTCTAAAAGAGTATACTTTATGCATGCCAAATTCCATATGTTTCCTCTAAAAGAGCCCATATAACCACCCTAATTTACTTTTAATTAGTCTAATTATCTCCAGCAAAGTTGATGTTTGCCTGGAGGTTTTAAGACTAAGATAGCTGTATCATTACCTTTTCACTAGCTCTCTTCTAACGTTTCATAAAAAAAAACTAGCTCTTTTCTATACAGTAAACAAGTTAAGGTCCTATCCTAACGATATTCTAATTTCTAAATCTCCATAACCATAACTAATCATAACATGGCTTACAATGTTTTTAAATTAATGCTAGAATACTTTAACAAGTTATATGTAGCAAACCTAGCATATGTTACAAAACTGAATGGACTTGCACACAGTAGTGCAGTGAAGCATAAAAGTGTACCTCTTGTCTTTCAGGCACTCCCTAAGCTTGCGAACTAACTGCTCAACCTCCAATATTTCCAACCTGCCGTGCTCCCCAGGGTCAACTTGAGAGAGTAGATCACAGATAAGTTTATTGAGACTAAGATTTCTGGATACGGATGTTGAAGCCTTGCACTGGAACTGTCCACCAATAGTGCGATACACCTCCATAGCAAGAGTTGTCTTGCCTAATCCTCCAAACCCAACTATTGAGACCACCTTCAGCTGCTGCTGCTCATCCATAAGCCACTTGACTATCTCTTCTCTTGGACCATCCATGCCCACAAGGCCCTTCGACTCGGCTAGCAGCACCGGCAGTCGAGGATCAATAGGGACTGATTCTTAAATTCTGGTGGTGCACTCCTCAAACTTACCCCGCAGCCTGCGCTCACTCACCTCCATGACGCGGGATTTGAGTTCCTTGATCTGAGTAGCAACCTGGTGGCGTGCCCACAACTTCTTGATACTGCGTGTGGTCTTTCGGATCAAGCCACCCTTCGTGTTGCCACTGTCAAAGTGATGCATAAAGGTGTCAATGCAATCCTCAATATCATAGTCTAGCTCCCGCACATTGTTCCTCCATTCCTTCAACTGCACATCAAGCTCCTCCACATCGGATAGCTTTGTAATTAAGGCACTCATGCTGCTCAACTCATCTTTTAGGTAGCTGATCCCAGGACGGACACTTCTGAGCTTCACATACTCCTCTCCCAGTAAGGCGGTGAGCTTGGGGAGGAGAGAGTTGATCACCCCTGTTGAGGCAGTCACCATTGCTCCCACCATATTTTCTCAACCCTGATGGGCTGAGGTGTCTCGGTACAATATGGTGCCTGTAGTAATAAACCATCAAGAGCTCCAAATCAATCAGCGAATGGTGTAACATTAACCTCTCTAGTTGCGACATTTAAGCCCCCTTTGGCACGGCTCATCCAAAACGGCTTCACCGGTGAAGCCAAAGCCGGTGAAGCCAGAAAAACTGGCTTTTTCCGGCTTCTAGTTCATGTTAACATCGGCTTACAAAACGGCTTCACGCTACAGTGTCTCGATTTGCGCAAAATAGATGAAGCCGAAGCAGTCATAAACCGTGCCAAAGAGGCCCTTAACAAATCATAATTGAACTGTACATGTTGGGGAGGGGGGACTTACTGCTTACTGCTTAACTGTACATGGTGCAATGTAGTTTGTCAATGGAGTTGGTAAATTGTCGCTCTCTTACCGATACAATGCTCAATGGCGTGTGCAGGTGGTACAACTTTGTTACTTAACTTTAACTAAGGGCCAGTTGCAATTTGATTATTGTTGACAGCAGAGACTGGAAATGTAGGTCGTGGATACTGGGAACTTTTACAACTATTATTATGTTGTATGATGAAACCCAAATTTGTAATATGTCAATGGAGTAGGTGACTTGTCGAATGTTCAATAACGTCTACGTATGCCCCCAAGAAGCTTCCAACCGTGGAATTCTTGTCCAATAAAGTTTGCACAATACTGCTTACTTTCTTTGCCCTAACTAGTAACTACACACGTTATGTATGTACACCATGGGGTGATGGGTTGCCCGAACCAGGCCGCCAGCTTCCCCTCGTTCATTTGCTGTGTTTGTCGGTTCCCCTCCTCGCATGCTTTGTCTGTTTCATCTCATATACCTCTATCCTCCACCATCCCGCACGGCTCCATCTTCTCAATTCCCACTTCCCTCGTGATGCAGGACGGTGTGATGCACGCATGGTGCAGGGCTCATGTGTTAGACACCCAAAACTCTGATGCATACATGCAACCAAACAAGATCTCGTCTCGTACTGGACCAACAACAAAGACAACCAAACACGACTGAGTCCACGGCTCAAGCATGCATCTCACCATCCAGGACCGGCTCTCCATCCCGGCTCCCCATCTCCAAAGCAATCAATCACGTCCAATGTAAATGGAACTCATTCTCTCAAACCGTTCGCCCGAAGGCACCCGTTCTCCCGGACTGTCCACCGATGCACAACAACAACCCATGATCTTGTAAAATTCATTTCAACTTTAAAAATTATGAAACTAAGTTAATTATGAAATTCTCTATCAACTAAACATGATTCTGACACCAAAAAAATATTTTAAATTTTGACAAAAAAATCAGATGCATACTTGCTTATTAAATATCTCCTCTAGATCTTCAAAATTCATGAAACCAGTTCTGTTAGGTTCCTTTGAGCATGTGCTATCTAGAAAATATATTTGGTGCATCATCTCATTGCATGTGTGAACTTGGCATACTATTTTTAAGCCTCACATGTGAACCTAACACTATACCTTTTACTTTTGCACAATGAGCACATGCACCTTGTTGAATGGACTCCCAAGCACCTTAGGAACCGCTAGCACATCCTCATACACATGCAAATGCCCCCAGCTCACTTAGCACCCAGAAGATCACCTAGAACACCAGCATTGTGATCTACTAGACAATTCAGCTGGATTCCCGAACAGACTGACATAACACATCATGCACTGAGTTGAGTTGTCCACCTTTAACTTATCTTGGACCCACTTGACAGGCCACCTGTCCACCCGAGTTGAAGCACCAGCAGGCCATACTCAACTCTCTCTCACCCTCTCATTCTCACATTTCCTCTCTCTTGTTCTCGCTCTCCTCCCTTTAGAAACCACAAGGCAAGCAAGGAGGAGGATTTGGAGGGAAGGAGCAGCAAAATGAAGGCCATTAAAGATGACTTAGAAGGTCACCACAAGATCTTGTTGGGGGTATAAGGGAGAGGAGCTCCCTCCCTCTAGCAAGAAAAGGAGGGGATTTCAAGAAGGAGCAAGGAAAGGAAAGAAAGAGCACGAGTTGAGTCTTTCTACTCCACCCAAGACTTATCAGCGTGTTCGGTAGGTTTGGTGAAATTTGGGCTGGACCACCACCAATTGACCACCATTTTGATCTCTCCCGCCACCCTCCACCCCATTGTATCTTTTAAAAGTTCAAATAATGGCGCCAATAGTAGCTCATGGTGATTTTAACATTTCAAATTCAAACTACCGACCATGTCATGATCATTTGAGTTCGAAATTCACCAACAACAACAGGTTTAACCATGAATCTACTGATTACATATGTTACATCCACACAACACACAATCAACATTTGTTCCATGGATTCACAATAACTTGTACAACACCATGTAGTTTCATTCACCAAGCGTCGATACTCAAAGTCCACGCTATTGGATCTCTTTTCATATGATGCCCATAAAACTCTTTTCCGAGTACTTCGTACCATCAAGTTCCACCATATCCTTCTTTATCACCGGCTTGAACTTGCTCGATTTGAGAGAACAATGTCAAAAGTTACAATTGGAAGTGACAAATGATGCAGCACAAGTTATAGCCAAAATATGATTGCTAATCAACCAAAAGGGAACAAGAAAGGCATGTCACACATTGGTTGCTACTTGAATAAACATCAATAAGAATGTTACTAGAACACAGTGAGAGTAGCCGTCGAGTTGGAAACAAGGTCAAGCAAGAAAATTACCGTGCCTCCTCTCGACATCCATCGGTGATGTCAATGGTGTTGCACCAACGATCCACAGATCCATTCTTTCTTTGGACTGCAAGGTTGCCAACTGAGCCAAGAAAAAAAAAGTACAAACAATCAAAACATGCAAGTACATAAGATCACCCACAATCACATTGTAAAAGATCTCCCGGTACTCCTAATACTATAGGTGTCTGCATTTGCGAATCTCATGTGTCTACATGCCATGACTTTGTATCTCAGAACCACTTCGCATGCAAGGTGAAATCAAATGTACAAAATTTGCTAGGCAACTTTGAATATTGGGATGGTCATGTTTACATAATTGAACACTTTGGTGCCTATCTTTTACAAGGTACAAAGTGCAAGTATGCCTCATTTGAGTATGATGGTGCTAATTCAAAGTTTTGAAGAAGATAAGCTATTGGATCTCTTTTCATATGATGCCCGAAATCAAAATAAAGCATTGGTGCTTTGGCGCCATCTGATTCTTAAGGATTAGTTACGAGGAATAATAGCAAATGCATCTTTTTGATAAAAGACAGATTCTAAGTTTTGATCAACATGTACTGAAGGCAAACTAACACCTAAAGAACGGCAAACCATCTGGACACCAAAACAGAAAAGAATAAATTTAGTTGTAACAATCTAAACCCTTTTAATGTGCAAGAAACTAATAGACAATTTTTTCGTAGCATCTCAAGAACATCTGATATAAAAGGCACAGCTATACGTACCACATGTAAATTTATCTCCTTTATATACACTAGGAAGGGCAGGAAGAGCACCTTTCACTGGTGGGAAGCATCATGACAAGGTCGCCATCCCGGACTCCAATGGCGCTGAGCTTCTCAGCGTTCTGTAATTCCTTTCCATTGACGTGAAGCAGCTGCTGTTGCAACAGTGTTCGATTCTGGCCGCACACACACACAGAGGCAGAACCTGCAATGTGAGATCAAAGTAGTAGCAGCAATGCTTCAGACAGGAAGCTCAATTGAGCGTTTGAGATCCCAAGCCCCGCTCACCTCCAGCTTGAGAAGCACGAAGGATGTCTTCTTCCGTCAACTGGAAGGTTCTCTTATTCTGCACCTCTTCTTGCCCGGTTGCAAACTCAAATTAGCTCTGGTTTAATCATCCATATGAACAAATACAATACATATATGATGAAATAATACCTCTGAGAAACAGAATCTTTCAAGAAATCCAACCAGTACAGTTCGTTGTACCTCTGAGAACGCATGGTGAATCACAGAAACAGTGTACAAACTACTATGCAATCATACCTCTGAGAACCAGAGTATTACATCACATCACCGATCAGTACAGAACTGGCACTTGTAGTTCTGTCACTACAATTCATCATACATCAATGAACACAATATGATAGTCCCATAAACCTTTTTATTCAAACGACCACAGTCCCACACAACCTTACACACGCACACGACAAGACTGCCATGGAATTGTACCTACAACTACTGGTTAGTAAAACAACTGCCTGGACCTAAATCAGATATTGCTCCACACCGCCGTGGATATCAGCTCCCTAAGTCCAGAGATAGGGGTGTCTAAATTTAGGTCAACCCACTGCGGCACCTCGTACGAGGGTGGATCTGCGCCGTACTTACGCATCCACAAAAAATTATCTAAAGCAAAGCATGAAATGATTATCATAGCCTGCTTCATCCTACTGCAGTACGGCACCCCGCCTAGAATATGCCAGCGTTCTTTCAACACCCCAAACCTCCTTTCAATTACATTCCGCAACTTTGCATGAATGTAGTTGAATTTCTCCTCCCTCTGCAATTGCTGCAAATCTATGCCCCTAAAGTCGTTGATGTGATACCTTGTGTTTTTGTAGGGAGTCATGTAACCTGCCATCTCCTTGTAACCCGCGTTCGCCAGGTAGTACTGGCCTACAAGCAATGAAAGCAGCCATCAGCTGTCTTAGCAAATTGAACACCAGTATGCTTCAATTCATGTACTGCAAGCAAAAAACAAGGACTGTGAACAGTCAGCCATCACGCTAGTGAGGTTGGACCGTGAGCAGAGGTCCAGTGACAGAGCTCTTTTTGCTGGAGGATGAGGTCAAGAAGGACAGAGGTTGCTCTGTCCTCCCACACAGCACGGTCCTGGCTCATCTGATTCAAGGATCGACAAAGCTATTAGTAATGTACCAGTCGCAAAATCTGCTGGTATAGATATACTAATTGATTTGTAATGCTTTCTTCTATCACGGATACTA